GATGATCCCAGAAAATCACTGTAGGTGGTCATACATGCCTCTGGTATGGCCAGAAGTCAATGGCTACAACTGTCACAATAAGGCAGGCCTTGTGGTGTGAGGTAGGCATCCTGTGTACAGTACAGGTTACGATTAAGGACCAGCCCTTCGATAGAATGGAGCTCTTCAACCAGAGGCTACTAGATGAAGTGCTTCATTCCCTCAAGGGGTACACTGTGGTCTCTGGGAATTTATACACTGGCTCCCTACAAAAAGGCCTAAAAATATCAACTCCAGCTTGTCTTCTGCCTCTTCAACCAACCTGTTACCCTCTGAGGCATCAGATTTAATGGGAGTATTAAGTTTCACATCAGAGCTGTTCAGAAGGAAGGAGTAGGCTTCAGGAACCAACTTGACCCATTCTACTGGGCCTGGAGAGCTATGACAGCTGACAAATGGGCATTAGACATATTGCCCAAGGCTTCCTAATTAGTGCCATTTGTTATCCCCCCCATGCCCCCTTCCCAGTCCCTCTTCACGACCCTTCTCACAAAATCCTGTTACAAACAGAAATAGGAGCCATAGAAGTGGTACCACAGGAGTACAGGGGAAAGGCTTTTACTCCAGGACAAGGAAATATTAGATGGATAAAGGGGGTCTTTGTCACATCCTAAACCTGATGAGACTAAACAAACGTTGCTTCAGATTCAGGATGCTCCATCATTCCATCTCTCGAGGATGAAGATTGGTTTGTGGCTTTCAAATTGCAGGAGGCATACTTCTATTTAGTCAGCTATTTCCTGAGAGGCCCAACCATCCCCCCCCAGCAGGGTATTGTGTGGAAGAAGTTGTTTAATTGTGGGTATATATTGAATGGGAAGACACATGTTCAGATATTAAAATTGGTTTTATTTTGTGTACTAGTCATTCTACTTATGCGATGCAGTAAACTTTGTAAACAAAAGTTATATTCTGACTTTGTAAACAAAGTTTACAGAATCAGAATATTGTAAATGTCAATGCCATTACAGGGCAGAGATTCCCCCCCCTCCCTACACTGTTATTGTGACAATTGACACCCTATACCCCAAAATACCAACATTTGATCAGTATTGTATGTTTATAGTTTGTAGGGAAACTGGGAGACCATTCATACAAAAAAAAAATTGTCATAATTTTTTTGACCTGCAAATACTATTCACATTTACTAAATTTTAGTGTCTTGATAACTGGGAAAATTGCAGATTTCTATGGTGTTAGTAAGTAATTGTTTTATTGGATAATACTTACAACCCATTTTGCAATAGAGTTTTAAAAAGTTTGATTCTATATATAACTTGCAATTATATAAGGTTATTTATTGAGCCATAGCTAGAAAATAAAATCTACTCTTATCTTCCCCCCCTCATTCATCATTGTACAAAAAGTTCTTATAGTCATTAGAATTCAGTTGTGCTTGATACAAGAGGTACAGTATACAAATCCAGAAAGTGTTATTGCTAAGAGTTTGGTAGTTCCTCAAAGGCCCAAAAATCCAAAGTTATACTCATACTATATTTAATTCACACCATGGTGCTCCAATACAGCAGAAAAGGGTACATTATTGTAAATGCTCTTTTGCCTATGCATTCTGTGGGCTGGAGAGCAGCATGCATGAATTGAGTAAGAAGTCACAATTGAGGTAGGTGCGGGTGCATGTGCATGCACCCCAGTCCACAACATGCCAAGTTGTGTGTCCAAGCAGATCTTTGAAAGGAAAGCTATTTCAGTCATCCTCTAATAGGGGGTTATCCAAAACTAGGCTAGTGGGCACCCCATTCACATTCAATGAAAATTCCATGATTTGAGCCAATCAAGGGGACATCACTTTTTTAGAGATTTTAAGAGCTTCTGCCTATCAGCTGTAACATGGAGTTCTTAATATACCCTATTACACTGTGAAGTCATTATGAAAAGGATGATCTTATCAGAGACGTTATCCACCTCCCATGGCAGCTGTAGAATTATGTTCCAAAATTGGAGCAAATCATCTCCGTTGCTCTCCTTGCCTAAAGAAGAATGCAGTAGCTTGTGAACGTTAACTGTGGTTTATTGGTAGGAAACTTTGCAGTGCCATTGGGTTTGTCAGCGATGTTGGCTAATGAGCAGAAAAATAATTTTGAATATTTCCAGCTGCAATTTTGTCTCAATTGCCATTGGAAATCGATTTTGTAAACAGGCAAATAGCTTAGCAATTACAAAAAAAGTAGGATTAAATATCAAAAGTATAATTTTCTTTGTGAATATAATTTTTGAAGCAAAGTAACATACATTACAGGATAGAAAAATCAAATATTTGACCAATTATATTAGTGTAAATATTTAATGGGAAATGTAAAAAAATTAAGGGTTGCTTTTGAGGACCACAGAACTTATATATTTGCCTTTGACAAGCCCGAGGATCTGTCCTTTTGGAACTCTTAAATGTTAATGTGGTTCTTGGACTTATTTACTTTTTAAATAAATAAGTTTCTATCTATTGCCTCTTAACTTTCAGGCTTCATGATTGGTTTACATTTTGAAAGTTTTGTGATTCTCCCCCCCCAAATGCAGGTTAGTTGTGGTCTTCTCTAAAGGCGCCCAGGACTAGCCTTTGGGGTCTCAAAGCTGGTGGATCCTAAAATTTTAGGGAGGCCTCAAAAATTCATGACTTTTCCTTAAAAAGAATGTTATTTGCTATGTGGGAGAGTATTAAAATATATTTTGATTATTCAATGAACTATGAAGTTGGAGAGAAAGTTTAGCTTCCACTTTTGATTTGCAACAAATTACATAAGAACATAAGAATGGCCATACTGGGTCAGACCAAAGTCCATCAGCACAGTATCCGGTCTGCTGATAGTGGCCAATGTAAGGTGCCCCAGAGGAAGTGAACCTACAGGTAATGATCAAGTGATCTCTCTCCTGCCATCCATCTCCACCCTCTGACAAACAGAGGCTAGGAACAACATTCCTTACCCATCCTGGCTAATAGCCATTAGTGGACTTAACCTCCATGAATTTATCTAGTTCTCTTAAATCCTGTTATAGTCCTAGCCTTCACAGCCTCATCAGGCAAGGAGTTCCACAGGTTGACGGTGCGCTGTGTGAAGAACTTCCTTTTATTTGTTTTAAACCTGTTGCCCATTAATTTCTATCTTTTTCTTTGTGCTAATTTGGCAACAGGCTAGGTATTTTACAGATATATAAAGAGAAATAGTTCTTATGAAAAGCTTGGGAGTGAGCACTGATGTCTGGCTTATCTGTTGTGAATACTTGCCAGAAGGGAGGACTAGAATTTGAAGGCATTGTGGAAGAAGTGCACTTTAGGGAGAGACTTAGATAAGAAGGTGGAGGACTGGCAGACCAGGTCAAATAGGGCTGGTACAGGCTAGAGGGCTATGTAGAAACACGGAGAGGAGAGTGGGAAGGCGGCTCAAAGTGTGCAGTGGGTTGTGTATTAAATGGGTGGTACGACGGTAAATTCTTTTAGACCTTTCCTTCACCTTTTTCCTGTTTTCTTCAATTACAGGCCTTTTTCCTGATGTAGGTGGAGGCTACTTCTTGCCAAGACTTTCAGGAAAAATTGGCTATTACCTTGCTCTTACAGGATTTAGACTGAAAGGGAGAGATTTGCAAAAAGCAGGAATTGCTACACACTTTGTAGAATCAGAAAAGGTAAATCTGTCAATCATTACCTTTGATAATAGGTCATAGGGTTAGATTTACTTGAAGCTGAATTTCTTCTTTGTGCAGATATCAGATTAAACTGATTTTTAATTATAAAATTAAATTTAGCCTCTCAACCCCATTGATGCAGTGTGGGTATTACACTTTCTTGGAGTGTCCAGGACCATGAATCACCATTTTACCCTCCTGCCTTCAGTGAGATGGAGTCTTGCCTGTGGTAACTGGATGTCAGCTCCCTCACACTGCCAGCCCTTCAAGTACTCATCCCAGGGCTCCGCCAGCCCGTACTTTGCCTTGAAGGTTAACACTTCATGTGTCCTGGTCCCCAAACTCCTCAGAAGCATTTCCCTGTAGTATCCAGCCCTAGTCATTGGATACTCTCAATTACCAGCTAAGCTGTCCCCAGAGAGAGAATGTACACACAGCTTGATAGGTACAGTCAGGATCAGGTCCTTTATAACAGCACTGCAATCTGCTTATAGTGAAAAGCAATACAAGTTTAACCACAGAGATTAATATTTAAGAGATAGTGAGCAAGGAGAACAGGTTACAAAGAAAAGAAAGTTACATTTAGACTCTAGACAAGGACTTCAGCTGTTACACACATCTTAAAGTACTTTCTCACCTAAAGCAGCGGTTCTCAACCAGGGGTCCACGGCCCCAGCTGGGCTGAAGCCCCAGTTCCTGGCACCCCCCGTGGGGCTGAAGTCCTGAACCTGTGGTGGGCAGAGTTGGGGACATGGAGGGCATTGCCTGCCCCCCCAAACTGCAGCACAAGGTCAAGGCAGTCCCGGGGGCAGCACCACACTCCCGAGTCATCCCCCTACTTCCCCCTGGGCAGTGCAGGGCAGCTGCTGCTTTGGCTGGTGCCATAGAGCAGGCAACTGCAGCGTTCCTTCCTCTCCTGCTCATGCCCCAGGTTGAAGCTGCTTCTCAGCTCCCAGCCCCCTTTGCTCACAGAGAGGCAGCCGGTAAGAGCCCACCCGAGTAGGAGGACCTGCCTCCATGGCTGGCAGATCCCTCCAGGAACAGGGACCACAGGGGAGTCCTCCCAGCACACAGCCCCTAATACCTCTCTCCCTACACCCTGAGCTATGCCTTCCCTGCACCCTGAGCTACCCCCTGCCCGCACACAGCCCCCAGCCACCCCCCTCCCTGCACCCTGAGCTACCCCCTGCCCACACACAGCCCCCAGCCGCCCCCCCTCCCTGCACCCTGAGCTACTCCCCTGCCCGCACACAGCCCCCAGCCACCCCCCTCCCTGCACCCTGAGCTACCCCCTGCCCGCACACAGCCCCCAGCCACCCCCCTCCCTGCACCCTAAGCTGTTTTCAAACTTCTGTTTTTCCTGTTGATTGTCACGTGTAACTAGGACTTCCATGGTGTTGGCTTTACAGTGCTTAACCTAAGCAAAGATCTGAAAATACATGCCTTTGTCCGGCAAAAACAGTTTTCCACCTCTGCTGGGGAGTGACACCTTAATATAAAATTAAGGACATTTTTCAGTATGTAATCATAAAATATAATCAGCATATAAATTCCATAATAATATTAATGACCAACATTATCCTACCTTTCAGTTAAGATCTCACAACTTTTTTTAATAGATAAATATTATGACAGCAAAGGGTTACGGTAGTGAGTTTAATCAAGCTTTGCTGTTACTGAACGGTGAACCCTTTGTTAGTTGGCATCAAGGAGTTTAGGGTCACAGTGGGAGATATTTTTAAAGTCCCTCCTAGGCACAAAGTGTTTTGGTGTTCACAGATGCATGGACAAGTCATTTATGTGCACAACCGAACTTGAATGCAGTGACTTGCTTCATATGTACAAATTTTATCAGCAACATTTTGATGGCCCTTTATATCAGAGGTATGGTACTGGAGATATCACCAAAAAGTACAGAATATCTTAAGGATCTGATTTAATCTTCTTTGCCTCAACAAATGATTCCCTTGTTACAAATCAGTACAGATAGTTATCCTGTACTCCTCTCTAACTCAGGCAGATCTCATGGTCCAGAAACACACAACTCAAGCAGCCTGGCTCACAGGAGGCATTGAGCATTGTCAGCTCCCAATGAAGCCAGTGGTAATTGGGTGCTTAGCACGTATTAGGCTTCTGTTCTTATATACAAAACATTCAATTGATATTTTGCTACTGAAAGTAACTGAGTTACGTTCAGCACTGGATTGTGGTAGCCAGTTGTGAAAACTTCAATTTATTAAAAACATGTATTAAAAGAATCTACTAACACTTGCGTATGTGCAACCAATCAAGAACTATTCCAAGCCCACACCTCCCCAAGTAGGATTCTAGGTGACAGCAGTTAAGGCAGCCACTGACTCCAAATCCCACATGGAGATGAGCTGTTAGGTGGTCAAAAACACGGAAGAAATCAAGTCACAGTCAATACTGTATCTATAGCTCTCTTTCCCAGTAACATATATAGGTCTAGATCCCACAGACACTTTACATAGCTGATTATCTTCTCACACATTAACAATTCCAGTGAAGCCAATGGAAATTATTAATGTGCAAGTTAGATCCTTGAGTGTTTGCAGGGTTGGGGGCCTTAAAAATTGGCTGGGGAAGAGATCTAAATCATCAACTCATTTGGTAAAGTCATAGCATGAGATTGTGCTGATCCCTTGCATGGATGGATAAGTGGGCAAGAGAAAATAACCAGCTTTCCCTATACTCTCTTCCTCCCCACCTCTTCACAGTGATATGCTTTGCACTCAGGGACAAGGACACCATAGGGCTTGTTCAGCTACTGACAGTATCTTTTCTGAAGCGTATCAGGAGGGTGCAGGCCTCGACTCTGCCTTCTCATTTGCACACTCAGAGTTAGGTAGGTGCCTAGGCTATGAAACACTACACTATATTTAAGTATAGCACTGCATCAGGACTCCCAGTACCCGCTCAAGCTCTGAGAGTTACTGTTTGCCTGCTTCAGCCACAGTTCTCAGTGTGTAAAAGGTTATGCCTTAAGGTCACCCCATGAGGTGGAGCTGGGCACCTCCCTTACCTCATATGTTGTTCCGTAATAACAGCAGTCCTGTGGTCTGAAGTATAGCCCTCCAGCTGCACATCATAGCAAAGGCACCGCCTTCCAGGGGGTTGTAAAAATAGCCCAAACAGAGAAGAAAATAGCTTTTAGACTCTCATGGTAGGAGGCCCCCTTCCTCATGAAGAGGAGGGGAAGCAGACTTTCAGGCACCACAGAAAATCTCAGTTCCTATCCTCCTATGCAGCTAAAAGCCAAAAGTTAGAAGTTTCAACAACAAAACCAGCTCATCTTCTTTTCTCAGTGGGCTCAGGATGGTGGTGCTCCCTGTTCTTTAACACATAGCCTAGGACTCTGGTCTGAGAACTCTAGATCTGCTTGTTTCAGAGCGCTACCCCCAGCTGGGTGGGAGTTTTTCCCTTTTAAGGGCTCATCCCCAGGCCTGAGAAGCTGCACAGATGCAGCAGTTTGGGGTTGATTGCGACCACAGCAATTCTTTAACTCTTTCATGGTGGGTGGGGGTATGGGTGGCTCTCTGCTCCACCACACAGAGGTTCTGCTTAGGAAAAGGCCCTCTGTACTGATCCCCAAAGGTGTAATTCAATCCAGACTGCTCAGTTCTCAGAAGTGCTGAGCATCTGCTGCTCCCATTATCTGCTTATCACCTCTTTAAATCGGGCCAAGAGTCTTTAATCCATAACTGTTAAAATAACAATCTAGCTGGAAATACCTTTTATTCCCCTATTATTTTAATTTGCCTTTTTATTTTTTTTTTTTGGTTAGCTGCCTGCACTAGAGGAAGATTTGATAGCACTAAAATCTCCTTCTAAAGAAAATGTTGCCGATGTACTGAACTCATATCACATGAAGGTAATCTGCTGGCTAGCTACAATCTCGAACTTTATTAAACAGGAAACTATCAAGTTAAATAATAATCTTCTTATTTACATAACCATCATTTGCTGTATGTTTGTATAGCACCCTGCAGAATGGATTCCCAGCCTCTACACACTACTACAAGATGTTAATAATTTATATATTAACACTAAATAAGTGACTAAAACTGAAAGAATTTTAAAAATCTAATTTACTTTTCACTACCTTTTGCATTTCTTTTGATTTGGACAATGAAGTTAGACTGATCAGTTTTATTTGGTAGTTCTCATCCACTGGCACAGTAGTGCTGAACACGTAAATCTCTAAGTACTAGGTATTACTATTCATTGCTTTTCAATTTTGATGTTCCGCACCCGGGGACAGCCACTGACAGAATGAGACTAGCACTGAGGGAGGCACTGGGTGCAGGGGGAGTGGCCATGGAATTACGTGGATTCAGTGGCTCTGACATCCCATCACGTGACACAGAAACTGCTATTGCAGCCTAAAGACCAAACTAGAAATTGTGAGGGACTCCCCATTCATTTTAATGCCATGCCATATTCCTCAGTTTGGGGTGGGGTTTGCCTTTCCACCTATGCCATTCCTATTTTACGTGCATGAAACCATTTTACTCTGACTTAATGTGAATTTCATCCTTATTTTCTTTAAAGTCATCTGCAGAGTCTAAATTCTGAGCCCAGCCTTCAGTGATTAATGATGTCCCTTTTGGCAAATACTACCAAGCATAGTGTATGTTAACAGGATCAGGTTCTTGCCAGACTCTAGTGAAATGCATTTGGAACATTAAAGCAATGCTTTAAATTAAAGCAACTAAATATTGCTAGTTTTACATTTTCAGAGAAAGATTACTTATTTTCCAAAGTGCAAATTCATAATTCTCTCTGAGTGTGTCAGTCAAGATTTTTGGGGGTGAATTTAACTTCATATCAAACAGCTAGAAAATGTCAGATTTCCTTGTAACACGTTGCATGCATGTATCAAAAGGTTTTTGATAATTTGCACTCAGTTTTATAAAAGCCATTCAGCCACTCTAGTAAGCTTCACAGTACTTCTTCCAAAAGAAAAAAAGCCCTGGTGCTAACAGAGATTTAATTTTGTTCCTTCATCCCATATATGCCTCCGAGGTTGTTTGGTTTTAGAATGAGATTGGTATCCACTATTTCCCAGTTAGATTTGTTAGGTTCTTGTATACGCATTAAGTGGAAAAATAATTGGAATACATTAATGTATCTAACACCACTGAATATCTTTGATAAAATGGAAACTATAAGCCAAGAGAGAGAATATGTTACTATAAAGTACAGGGCAAGCTGCCAGTTAAAGGAATGGAAGCTTCACCTTCACCGTCATTGGAATAGAAGTGACAAGGAACCTGTTTGAGCTGCAGCTAGTGTCAGTGAAACATCAGTTTGTATCCTAAGCCCCCTAGGCTAGCAGGTCTAAAACATTTGTCATGAGCTCCAGTTCTAACACATCACATCATGCAGTCCCAGCTGCTGGCAGTCAGTCAATACCACCCGTTAATGCAAATCAATTAATGCAAAATGATCATGTCTTCTAATTGTATATGTGTAAACATTTTATAAATATAAACAAAAAGACTAGAAAAAGTAGAAAGAGGCCCTGGTACTTCTATGAAGATTGGATGGGTTATAAATAATGTATTGTTGCTGGTAAGGTGTTATCCTCGTAGAAGATTGTATATTTATTGATTAAGCATACCTCATTATCTTACAAGTTCAGAAGATGTCGCAACATTAATACTGTAAATCAAAACAACCAAGCAAGCACAAAAGAGGAGAGAAGTTTTATTCTTATAAAACTTAAAGAGAAAATAAAACTAATTGGGATCAGCCAATAAATTCCATAGTACTAAGTTTCTTTAAAAAAACATCACCTAAAAAACACAGCAGCTAACAGTTGCTGCTGCTTCCCCCTTCCCATCCCCCCCATAAACGGACATATAGTAAAAGAAAATCTGTACACACCTTCCTGTTAGATATGGATCTCTAATATTAAAATGGAAATAACCATTGTACAAAAATGTTTAAGAAAGCTACACATCTCTCATATTACAGCTTTATTTTCCTTTCCTTACTGTTCCTCAGAGAACTCTGAAAGTGTATATAAATCAGCTCTCTCTGTATCTGTTACTGACAAATACTGACAAAACATCTTTGAGCTATATGATAGCTCGTAACTAACACTGTGAGATAAAAACTTCAAAATGTTCAACACACAATGACAAGTTTGTATGTACTGTAAAATACTGTTTGATTAAACATAGTAATCAGCATTAACTGAGCTATCTGCGTAGGCTTTTCTGTAGTGCAAATCAATATAGTATTTCAGGACCAGTGATGGGCTTTTAAAGTTTTCAAATAGGCTGAGACAGAACCAAGTGAAAGATGTATTTTCTTTTAAATAGTGCAAAATTGATCAAGAGAAGCAGTTCGTACTTGATGAACATATGGACAAGATTAACAGGTACTCTATCATTCTTTCCTCTTACCTCTTGTGTGGAAGATTTGCATTAATATTAATGTTTACTGGATTTAACAGGTTATGTAATAACAGACAAGGCTGTAGACTTTTTTAACATCTGTTTTTGTAGGGTTCTTGACCTAGTAGGACTTATTACTTACCTATGGTCTTCTACATATTACAGGTGTTCTTGGCTGTTTCAGTGAGAAAAGTAACTTTTGATAAATGTTGCTATAGTCATTAAATCCCTTGTTTGTCAGTTTGTCACTCTTGTACATAACTGCCCTATAACACATTAAAACAAAGACACTTGAAAATTGGAATTTAGGATTTTGGGGGGCAAAGGACAGAATATGTGTGTAATTCTTTGGGTATTCAGATGGAGCTACATCTGTGACCAGTTTTGTGCGGCTGAGTACCAAAAAGAGGTTGATGGATGGAAGCCAGGGAACACCACCAACAAAAAACTAAGCCTAGTAGGATAGATTTATGAGGAGAAGCTGAGATAATAATATATGGATAGCTTGAACAACTGAGATGATGTAGTTCTTTACAGATATTTTTTGAGTGTAAACAGCAGTCAGAATAAAATTGATACCATAGGTATTATAAATACATAGATAAAACAAAAGTAGAAGTTTTAGAATTAATATCAGTATTCCCAACTGAGGTTTATTTGAATGTGAAATAGTCTTGAAAGGTAAATGGAGGAAACCTCATCAGTATATAAAAGTAGTCTGAACAAAGCAGGAGAGACTATATTGTTGTTTATTATTTGTATTACCATAGCACCTAGGAGCCCCAATCATAGACCATGGCCCCACTGCACTTGGTACCACACAAACACAGAATAAAAAGAGAGTCCCTGCCCGAAAGAGTTTACAATCTAAGTATAAGAGAAGAGACAACAGATGGTTACAGACAGACTGATGGGGGAGTGCAAGGAAACAATGAGACAGCATTGGTCAGTATGATAGCAGTTGTCAAGTGTTTTGTAGGCTTCACAAAAAAAGAGAGTTTTAAGGAGGGTTTTGAAGGAAGTTAATTACAGTAGAACCTCAGAGTTATGAACTGACCGGTCAACCACACCCCTCATTTGGAACTAAAGTACACGATCAGGCAGTGGAGACACAAAAATAAATAAATAAATAAATAAAAAGCAAATATTGTACAGAACTGTACTGTGTTAAACATAAACTCCTAAAAAAAGGGGGGGGGAGTTTAAAAAAAGATTTGACAGGGTAAGGAAACTGTTTCTGTACTTGTTTAATTTAAATTAAGATGGTTAAAAGCAGCATTTTTCTCATGCATAGTAGTTTCAAAGCTGTATTAAGTCCATGGTCAGTTGTAAACTTTTGAAAGAACCACCATAATGTTTTGTTCAGAGTTACAAACATTTCAGAGTTACGAATCACCTCCATTCCCAAGGTGTTTGTAACTCTGAGGTTCTATTGTAGTTAGTTTTGTGGATGTTTACAGGTAGCTTCTCCCAAGTGTGAAGGGAAGCATAGAAGAAAGCACAAAGGTGCTTATTTGAAAATTTTACAAGTGGGTGATTGGAGGCGGGAGCTGTCCTTTCAGCACTGAATGAGAGATGATGGATCATAAAGGGCCTTGAAAATGAAGATGAGTAACTTATATTTGTTATGATAAAGTGAGGGAGCCCATGGAGGGATGCAAAGAGAGAGTGAGATGGTCAAAATGATGGCTAAGTAAATTACCTTTGCAGCTGCATTCTGAATGGATATGTGTAAAGCAAGATTTTATTTATTGAGGCCAGGGAAAAGGATGTTGCAGTAATTGAGATGAGATAGTGTAGAGAATCAGTCTGATGATCTAGTTAAGCTATTCTGTTTTTAATGTCTGTGAGTTCTCATTACTTCACAGGCAGGAAGAAGGGTGGAATCACATTTAGGTCATATGAGGCTTTTCTTGTTGTTTTTTTTTTAGTTTGTTTTCAGCAAGCACCATGGAGGAAATCATTCAAAATTTGAAGCAGGATGGTTCTCCTTTTGCTCTTAAGCAGCTAGAGGTAATGTTTAGTTATATATTTTTACCTTTATAATTAAGTCTTAAGGATTGATTTTGATCTCACTGAAACTTGTGTAAGTCTGGTGCAACTGCATTAAGGTCAGTGGAGTTACATTGGTGTAAAGCTGGTGTGATAGCAGGCTCAGGCCCTTAAGATCCAATTCTTAGTCCTTTAGGACTTAGTCGGTAGGACTACCCACACATGTAACTGTAGGATCACAACCTAAATCTTCATATTTATTGTAAAACAGTTTTACTCTGCACAAATTTTACTTCATATCTACTCCTGACCATATATACACCTCCTCTCTGGTCATAAAAGGTTTGGTGGTAATGGAGGTTCTCTTTATACTTTTCCTTTTGTTGCTCTGGAATGATATGTAAAAAATGTGCCAAACTCAGTGTTTTCCAAATTAATTCAGTGGCGCACTTCACACTCCAGTAGGCAGAAAAAAGTAATCTCTATTCATGTGTTTATTTAGTCATATGGGATCTTCGAATTTTCCGTCCTTTATTACTCTCAAAGTGGATTTACTTTGCTGACCTGTGGAAAAACTGTTCCAGGGTCTATTCAAATATTGCTTAATATTGGGTAGAACTCAGGCATTTCTCAAGGAAAACTTTGATACTAATGCAGGATTATAGCTAAGGGCAGAAATGCTGCTCTTGTACAAATGTCTAACATGTATTCCTCTCACCCTCCCTTGAACCTACAGTATATAAGACATATTATAACAGTATCATTAACTCTCTGAGGCAGACTGGAAATAAATGTCTTAAAATTATCAAAGAATGTACCTGAGGTAACAGATGTAATTGTCTGAGGTCAGACTAGAAGATCACACTGATCCCTTCTGGCCTTGGAATCTATAAATTATTTTTAGCAGCCTCATGGGTTGTAACCAATAAGCATTTGGCCAATTTAGGGTTTTTGTGGACAGTCAAAATATTGACCATGGTAATATTTTTGCATTTTCACAGATTATATTGACAAGCTTCTTCACAGAAAAATGTGAATTAAGAGAAACATCTCTCTAAAAAAGGGAATTTTAGAAGCCACCTGCATAGCAAGCGTTATGCTCAGTATTTAAAAGAAAAAGTTTAATCTATTTTACTATACAACATTAAACAAAAGGGGAAACTTAATATTTCACTTTTATGTGGCTCCTGTGAAGGAGGATTGTTGGTCTAATGGTTAGGGCAGTAGCTGGGACTCAGGAGATTGGGGTTCAGTTCCCTGCTCCACCACAGACTTCCTGTCTCCCTAGGCCTCATTTCCCCATCTGTAAAATGAGAACATAGATTTCCCCCTATCTCTCAGGGATGTTGTGAGGAGAACTACAGTAAAGATTATGAGGCGCTCAGATACTATGGTGGTGGGGCCATATAAAATAGATACCTAAAATAGATCAACCCACTCAGTTGTATTTATAATCTGTTGAACTGCAATAGGATATTGTAAACCCCTTTTACAATATCATTGTAGAACTATGTTTAACTTGACGATGATAAAATTAACTTTTGTGGAGGCTGACAGACCATCAAGCATTATTTAACGATGGCTTTTTCTAAGCGTGTAGTTATGGCACTATAAAATAATGAAATCTAGTGGAATTGTTTGATCGAGAACATAGTGTATTAAGGACGTTACAACATTTTCTGTGTTCAAAATACAGTTCACATTATAAAGACTAGAAGTGCTTTCTTATTGGCATATAGTCACTATCCAGGCCCTGTATATTCCACGTAGGGTGACCAGATGTCTCGATTTTATAGGGACAGTCCCGATTTTTGGGTCTTTTTCTTATATAGGCTCCTATTACCCCCTACCCCGTCTCGATTTTTCACATTTGCTGTCTGGTCACCCTAATTCCACGATCCCATAACTACCAGATTTGCTGCAGAATTCACCCCCTTGCTGCACAATCTGACCTATTTAAACCCAAAATTTAAGTTCTCAGTCCTTATGGTTGTGGAGATTACATGTGTTTCACATTTTTGAGGTTAACTGATGCAGCATCAGCTGTCTTCAAGAAGAGCCTATGTACTAGTAAACAAAGGCCCTGTGCCTTTAAAAAGAATATTTTCCCTCTGTTTCTTCAATTTGTTTGTGCATTTAATAGCACTCGATATATAGTAGATGATGGTGTTTCCCCTCTATGGTTGGTTAATGGCTGATTCTTGTTCCTCGGGCTTGATACAGTAGTTACTGGGTGATGGTCTATAGCCTCTGTTATACAGCAGTTCCGAGCAGGTGATTATGATGGTCCCTTCTGGCCTTGAAACCAATGAATCCTGCAAATACTTTATAAGATTTAGTGTTTATTACTGTGAATAATCCCTTTATTTTAATTGAATTACAGTAGAAACCCTATGCCCACTAGTAAGTGTCCAGAGGATCAGGGCCTTTGTTTCCCCTTTTGCTTTTGTCAGTCTTTCACACAGCCACAGAACAAGAAACATTTTTAACAATAGGAAAATGATTGTAAGACCACAAGCATTCCCAAGAGCAGGGGTCGGCAACGTTTGGCACGCGGCTTGCCAGGGTAAGCACCCTGGCGGGCCGGGCCAGTTTATTTACCTGCTGACGCAGCAGGTTTGGCCGATCGCGGCCCCCAGTGGCCGCGGTTCGCCGTCCTGGGCCAGTGGGGGCGGCAGGAAGCTGCGCAGGTGAGGGATGTGCCCGGGACGGCGAACCGCGGCCACTGGGGGCCCGCGATCGGCCGAACCTGCCAGGTCAGCAGGTAAATAAACTGGCCCAGCGCCCCGCCCGGCGT